TTTGTAGCTGCCATGTGGGTGCTGGGAAATCAAACCTGGGTCCTCTGCAAGAACAGTCAGTGCTCTTAACTGCTGAGCCATCTCTCCAGCCCTAAATATTTTTTATAATCTATGTATTACTGATAAATTTAATCACACCCAAGTTAGACAGGCATTTATGAGATGTTCTGAACAAGTAGCATTTAGGCTGTTCTTCAGGGTATGTTCTAACAATTTGTTTATAGGTTATCGTTTGGTACACATATTCACACTGTGGAGGTATTTTTTTAAGGCTTATTTTTTAAAAAGATTTAATTATGTATATATATGGGTATGTGCACATGAGTGCAGGCACCCATGGAGTTGAGAGGAGGGCATTGGGTCCCCTGGAGCTGGAATTACAAACAATTTTCAGGCACTCAGGTCTTTGCAAGAGCAATACATGGTCTTAACTGCTAAGCCAGCTCTCCAGCTCTAATGTGGAGGTTCTTTTTTTAAAAATCACAAATGTAAGCCGGGCATGGTGGCCGCATGCCCCAGCACTTGGGAGGCAGAGGCAGGTGGATCTCTGTGAGTTTGAGGCTAGCCTGGTCTACATAGCAAGTTCCACAAATGTAGTTGAACATATTCAGCATGCCAATTTTTAGTATATTGGGTATAATGATGTTTGAGGAAAGGTAGCCATGAGTTCTTGGCCAGCTTGGTCTACATTCTGAGTTTCACGACAGCTGGGACTACAGGGAGACCCTGTCTCAAAAAGACAAAAACGCAAAAAACGAAACAAAAAAAATGAGAGCGAAAAAAAGATTTCTGTTCATATGGAGCCTTTGAGACACTTTCAATTAAACACTAGAGGTTATCATGCATAATCTTCCTCACTAGCCTGTGGCTTTTCTTCACTTCAATGTAGGTACATTATTAGAATTAATTTCATGGAAATCATGACTCAATTTTTAGCTAACAAAATAAAGTTTGTCTTACCCCTTATCCCCGTCTCACTTCTTGAAATATTTTTTTGTTGCATTGTTGTTTTCTGAGTTTTATTACTGTTTTTGAGCCTCATTCTTTTTAAAAAAACATTTATTATTTTTATGTGTATGGGTGTATTGCTGCATGTGTGTGTAAGTGCACCAGTGTTGTGCAATGCCCATGGAGGTCAGAAGAGGGTGTCAGATCTCCTGGAACTGGAGTTACAGCCAGTTGTTAGCCACCATGAAGGTGCTGGGAATTGAACACAGGCCCTCTGCAAGAATAGCCAATGCCCTGAAGTGTTGAGCCATCTCTCCAGACCCCTTTAAAATTTTTTTGGGAGGGGAGGTCTTTTTTGAGACAGGGTCTCCCTTAGCCCCAGCTATCCTGGTTTAATTTTTTTTATTTATTATTTTTATATTCAGCCTCATTCTTTTTGGTCTAATACTTTCAATGGACTATCAGCACTTTTAGTTGAAGGCCCTCTAGATTTTTCTTAAGACTTCTGGTTATATCCTTCACCGAAGGTCTTGTTTAGAGCCAGAGCTGACCAAATTGGTGGAACTGAGAATAGCAGTTCCAAAGCTACTGTCCTGAACTCCCCAAGCTTGCAGTATACTGTAACTAAGAACTAGGCATGAATAAAAGCAAACCTGTGATTGCAGAGTCAGAAGAGAAAATGCAATCTCATTCTTAGGGCACAGGCAGGATGGTATTTTTTACAGATTCCTAAAGATTCTAACTAATATACCTCTTTGAGAGGCACGGATTAGAATTTTACATGTTAAAAATCTACCACCAATAATTAGGTAGACTAGCTCTCAGATAGCAATGGGAGAAAAGGATGAGCTAAGAAAAAATTTCTCTTAGCTTTTTAAGAATTGGAAACATATATAAATTTCCTATCAATAAACAAGTATATACCGTTTTCTTTCTTTATTCCTCCTAAAAATGCTTATTTTTTAATTTATAATTAATTTCATTTAGTATGTATATGTGTATGTGTGTGCTTGAGTAGAGGTCAAAGGACAATTTGGAGTTGATTCTCTCCTTCTACCATATGGGTTCCGGGATCTAACTCAGATCATTGGGCTTGATGGCAGGTGCTTTTACCTGCTGAGTCATCTCACTGGCCCTCAAGAAATTATAAGATCCTATCCTATATATTTGCTAAGTACTAGTTTAAGCACCTAGGTTTCAGCAGCCAACAAAATAGGTACAGTTTCTGTTTTTAAGAATTTAATATTTTAATAGGGAAGAAACAAAAAACAAACAATTTGATAATAAGGCAAAAAGATGAAGAGAAGACCAACATGGGTGATTCTATTTTTTTCTCAGTGACATAAGTACAGTGGAATATTTATTACTTAGGAAGAGAAGGAAGCAGGGAATCATGGCAGGCTTCACTGGGGAGAAGATGAGCAACTTGGGCCTGAATGGGGAAGCAGGAATTTCAGTTTGTGACAGGGGTAGTTAAGAAAAAATAGCATGTCTGAGCAAGTAACAGCTGATCTGCAACTAAAAGGAGATATGTAAAGATTTAAGGGGATAGTATGCAGTATTCTTTCTGATGATTATTTTCCAGTTGCATTATTTCTATAGGTTTCTATAGGCACCACTTTTATGCATATTAAATATTAATTTCCTTACAGAAATCTCTAAGTTATAACTAGGAATAGATTTCTGAAAGAATAGATTAGTAATATTGCTATTAATAGACACATTAACAGAAAAATCAATAATTTAAAAATTAAAAAAGTCTTTTAGTAATAAGATGTGGTCTCTGTTGTAAAATAGAACTGAAGTATGAATCTTTTCCATTTTTTTTTAGTATATAAAATGCCAAGCTTTGTCTTATGTATTTTAGAAACACTTGATTTAAAGGAACAGATTAGAAATGGCTAAAGCATTAAAATAGTGGCAAGAAACAGCCACTGAGTTTATCTGATACAAGTTTAGATTCAGGGTGAGTTTTGTGACATTATTTCAGAGAACTGGGCTTTTTTTATTTGCAGAGTAAAATATTTTAATCTTCAGGTTAAGAAGCCTGTTTGTGTAATTAATATTTTTAAATTTCTTTGTTGTCAGGTGTGGTGGCAACACACCTGACAGCGCTCAGGAGGCAGAGGCAGGTGGATCTGTGTGAGACTGAGGCCAGCCTGGTCTACATAGCAAGTTCCAGCCCAGAAGGGGCTCCAGGGAGAGCCCATCTCAAAAAAAGAAAAAATTTCTTTGTGACTATCATGATACTATGTTATGCTGTGAAAAAGATAGTGAGAATATATAGAACAAAGACATGCATTTGCTATGGAGTCCAAGTCTTCAAGAGACAAAACATACAGAAGTCTTATATAATGTACATGACTTATAAAGTCTACAAAAACAATGAATAGCTTTTATTTTTATTTCAGAAGACAATCAGACAAAACAAAAAACCTCAAAGATAATAACAACAAAGGCCTCATGGATAAAAGGACACTTCCCATAATGGAGATAGTCAAAGTAGAAACCTGTTTAGAAAACAGCACTTG